AGGAGTATAAAATTGGCCTGCGGCCCGTGGGCGGCCCGAAACCAGCCCGTCGCCCGGGCTGGCCCGGGCCAGTCCGTCCACAATATGAATATTCACATTGACAATTAACATTAACATTAACATTAACAAGAGTGTAAAATTGGCCCATGACCCGTGGGCAGCCCGAAGCCCAGGCCCGGGCCCGGGTCGGGCAGGCCCGGCCCGTTGACAATGTGAACATTCACATTAACATGTTAACATTCACTTGATAGGAGTGTAAAATTAGCCCGCGGCTGTGGCCAGCCCGAAACCCGCCTGCGACTCGTGGGCTGCCCTGGGCGGGCCCGGCCCGTCCCGTTGATAATGCAAATATTCACATTGACATGTTAACATTCACATTGATAAGAGTATAAAACTAGCCCACGGCCCATGGGCGGCCCGGGCAGGCCCGACCCGGCCTGTTGACAATGTGAATATTCACATTGACATATTAACATTCACATTGATAAGAGTGCAAAATTGACTCGCGTCCCACGGGCGGCCCGGGGCGAGCCCAGTCCGGCCCGTTACAATGTAAATATTCACATTGACATATTTAACATTCACATTGTTAAGAGTGTAAAATTAGCCCGTGGCCCGTGGGCGGCCCGTTGCCTAGGGCGGGCCCGGCCCGGCTCGTTGACAATGTGAATATTCACATTGACATATTAACATTAACATTGATAAGAGTGTAAATTAGCCCGTGACCCGTGGGCAGCCCGAAGCCCGGCCTTGGGCCGACGCGAGCCCGGCCCGTTGACAACGTAATATTCACATTGACATGCTAACATTCACATTGATAAGAGTCGTAACATTAGCCCGTGCCCCGTGACTGCCCGAAACACGCCACGGTCCGTAGGCGGCCCGAGGCGGGCCCGGCCCGGCCTGTTGACAATGTGAATATTCACATTGACATGTTAACATTCACATTGATAAGAGTGTAAAAATTGACTCGCGTCCCATGGGCGGCCCGAAGCCGTGAGCGGCCGGGGTGGCCCGGGTTTGGGTCCGGGCCTACCCCGGGCCGCAGGCGAGCTTCGGGCAGTGGACAAGTTTCACACTCCTATCAATGTTAATGTTAACATCTCAATGTGAATATTCACATTGTCACGGGTCGAGCCAAGCCGCCTCGGGCTGCGATCGGGCTTCGGGCCGCCCACGGGCTTGCGGGCCAATTTTACACTCCTATCAATGTGAATGTTAACATGTCAATGTGAATATTCACATTGCAACGGGCCGGGCCCGCCCTGGCCGCGAGGTCGGGCTTCGGGCTGCCCACGAGTCACGGGCCAATTGTACACTCTTATCAATGTGAATGTTAATATGCCAATGTGAATATTCATTGTCAACAGGCCGAGCCGCCACGGACTCGCCCCGGGCCGCCACGGGCCGTGGACGGGTTTCGGGCAGCCACGGGGCGTGGGCTAATTTTACACTCCTATCAATGTGCATGTTAACATGTCAATGTGAATATTCACATTGTCACGGGTCGGCCAAGCCCGCCTGGCTGCGGTCGGGCTTCGGTCCGCCCACGGGCTACGGGCCAATTTACACTCTTATCAATGTGAATGTTAACATGTCAATGTGAAATATTCACATTGTCAACGGGCCAGGTCGGGCCTGCCCCGGGCCGCGGGCGGGCTTTTGTTGTCCATAGGCCGCGAGCCAATTTTATACTCTTATCAATGTGAATGTTAACATGTCAGTGTGAATATTCACATTGTCAACGGGCCGGACCGGGCCCGCCCCGGGCAGCCCATGGGCCGCGGGCGAGTTTCGCGCCGCCACGAGACGGAGGCCAATTTTACACTCCTATTAATGTGAATGTTAACATGTCAATGTAAATATTCACATTGTCAACGAGCCGGCCGGGCCGAGTCGGGCCTGCCCTGGGCTGCTGTCTAGTTTTATACTCTTATCAAATGTGATGTTAACAGTTGTCATATGTGAACATTCACATTGTCAGCAGGCCGGGCCGGGCCCGCCACGAGCCGTGGCGCGGTTTCGGGCAGCTATGAGGCGCGGGCTAATTTTACACTCCTATCAATGTGAATGTTAATATGTCAATGTGAATATTCACATTGTC